TTATCGTCAGTTGTATCATCATTTAAATCAAGTATTTGAAAAATGGCCTGATGATTTAGAGCCAATGTATTGAATCTTCGTTCAATTTGAGAACTCTGCATCATAAATCGCATAATTTCTTGTTTAATTTTTCTTCTACTATTAGGTAAACTCCCTGTATAATTGTAAAATCGTAAGTAATAATTCTGAATAATTTGAATAATATTATTGTAAATACCAACCAAGAATTCCATTCATCCTTTCAAAGGAGAAATACCAAAATGAGTAAAGAGGACCGTAATCTTTACAACATTTGTTCAAGTGTAATGAAATATGTAAATTTGGTGTTATTGAAACTTCTCCGTAATTCGTTTCGATAAGTTTCAAAATTTCAATTAAATGTTCATGTGCGTCATCTAAATTTTTGATTGTAACAATCCTTCGGACTAATATAGAACAAGCTTGGCTGAAATGTACTAAGATTTTCTGATCTTCTTGGTCCAAAAAATCCCAAAGAACTACTCTGGCATAAATCAGGAAAAAATTTTTCCATTCGTTAGCCGTTAAATTGGAAAATCCTTCCCCAATATTTATTTTATGAGGAATTCGACCGATTTCTGATGGTGGATGAATATTGTTCATGTTTTTTTGAATTTTCGTCAGATCATCCATATTTATTTTACCATGTCCTAACCAAAGCTGTTTTACGATAAATGATGCAATTCCTATAAATAAATTATGCATCGGGTCCACAGGTAAAAATTGTATCAGATCGAAATAAGACAAACGGAGCATTTTTGACCATCTCGCGTGATATTGCTTCGCATGTCTTTTTCTAGCTTCGTTGCTTTACATTTTCTCCATTCCAAAGCCATTTCTCGATGACTATTCGCGCTTTTAGCAACAAACCATTCGTCAATATCATCCATGCCACTAAAATTTCTATTTCTTGCAACCTTTAAGTATCTGTGACAGCTTACATTGGCTGAATAATGGCCACATAATTTTCTAGCAGCTGGTATATCGCAGCAACAAGCAATTACTGCGCATTTTATCAATCTTCCGGATAAATGTTCAGAAGTTCTGTCTAATTCCACTCCTTCCCAAAAAGTTTGAAATTGATCAACAATTGGCGCCAAGTAATGATTTATCTGATGTATGCTTGGTTCATTAGGGCCTGGCATTAATCCTAAAATGAGCATATTTTCGGGTTTAAAGCGCAATTCTCTTGGGAGATTGTAAATAGCTCCATATATAGCACCAGAACTATGAATTGTCCTTTCAAATGGCTGAAACCAATCGACTTTAATCATAATACCCAAATGATCATCCGCATGTTCTTTATTAAAAAATCTTTGTTCGTCAGATTCATCATCCACTATTATTCCACTATTTGAGAAATTCTTCCAAATTTCACCATCATATACATCACATAAGACTCGGTCGTTGACGCTTCTATCGGCCCATAATTTAAGATTTTTTTCAAAGTTTGGCCTTTGATACATTTGTAAAAGTTGCTCTTTTATACTGGGCATCGGATAAATTAATAATGGCGCATTAACGACTTTACCATCGTCTAGTTCTTTTTGTTCTGATAATGGAGCATTGCATTGTCTAAGTGAATGATGATTTGGAAATTGTACATGACCACATTTTTTTATTGCTTTGTGTTGTTGGATTGTGTGTTGTTTAACATCATCTATATTATGTAATTTGTGACATGAAGGACATACAGAAAATTTGACAAATTGATGCTTCAATCCTAATTTCTTTCTTGCATTATACAACGAAGTAGGAAAATCTTTAAAACGATCTTAATTAAAATTTGTTAAAATATGTTTGATGAATTTAATTAATGTATCGATTGCGGTATCTGCTAGTCGAAACCTAGTTTGATACCTCAAAACAAACACAATTATCCAATCTTCAATATTTTGCAGATTTTCATTAATATTGTTTGGAAAATTATAATTCGGTGGAGAGTAATCTTCAAAAATGTTGGTTTCTTCGCCATTATCATCCCCATCATCCCATTATCGCTATCATCCCCATCATCGTTATCATCTCCATCATCCCCATTATCGTTATCATCCTCATCATCCCCATCATCGTTATCATCGCTATCATCCCCATCATCGTTATCATCGCTATCATTCCCATCATCGCTATCGCCATAATTATCAGTTTCTTCGTTACTGTCATTGTTATCATCACTGTCATTTATATTTTGCATTTGAGTGTCACGCTCCAAATAAGTATTATACCTGCTTCGTTTTCTCCTTTTCGAAGAAAATGTTGACAAATTTTCTGATGATGATGTGCTTTCTTGAGGGTCGATAGAGATTTCTTCATTAACGAATGATGATCCAATACTCATTGGGTCATTTGAAGTAGTTGCATCATTAAGACTTAGACTCATTGAATGTTTTTGTTTAGTTCTTGGATCAACATACTTTCCGTTGCATTTACACAGGTCAAAATATAATATACCAGTCATCAATCGGTCATATAACTGATTGGTACCTTATTGGTAGCTGATCTGTTACTGATTCATTCATTCAGATACCAACCGGTCATCAATCAGGCATTTATTTCAATCGGCTACACATCAGTTGTATGACCGATTGGTCCAATTGGTGACTGATTGGTGCCAGTTTAACAATCGGTAAACAATCAGCCATCTGTCATCTATATTGGAAGTTGACTGATTGGTTGCCGATTGGATATTGTTGACCATCAGTCATCAATCAGCTATCAGCAGGTCGAATTATTGTCAATTGGGTACCAATCAGGCATATGTCCGATTGATACAGATTACAGCTATTTGCGAAATAACGGACCACTTACAGCTATTTGTGAAAATAATGGACCACCTAATTCATTTTTCAACTGCGTATGAAATTTTCATACGCAGTTATACGCATGGTAATATCTTCCCAGACCGTCAAACTCATTTTTTGAATTTTTCATATGCAGTCATCCGCAGTTATATCACAATAATTCTAGCATGTATGACTGCGTATGGCTGCGTATGAAAATTTTATACACAGTAAAAAATCGGATTAGGTGGCCCGTTATTTTTGCAAATAGCTGTAATTCATTTTTTGACTGCGTATGAGATTTTCATACGCAGTCATATGCATGGTAATATCTGCCTGGACTGTCAAACTCATTTTTTGAATTTTTCATATGCAATCATTCGCAGTTATATCACAATAATTCTAGCAGTTAACTATGCGTATATGACTGCGTATGGCTGCGTATGAAAATTTCATACGCAATCGAAAATCGAATTAGCTGGTCCGTTATTTTGCAAATAGCTGTAATAGATGATTTGTATGTAGCCAATTGATGCTAATTCAATAAATGTGCTTTATGATTTTATCTGATCTTATTTTTAACTGTTACTAGTAAACTGAACAATGATGGAAATCATAATAAAAATGTATGTACCCACATTATTTTTATATTGCATAAGCTAATAAATGATTTATTCTAAATAATAAACAATTTTGTCACCAATTGTATTAAAAGATTTAATAATTCTCCTAATTACCCACTGAAAATTTATCATTTGACTATACATGATGAAATAATGTGTACAAAATGAACAAGGGAATATACAAGGAATGATATTTAATAAAGAAAAAATAGGCAGAAAGTCTAAGATTTTTATAAAAAAGAANAATTTATCATTTGACTATACATGATGAAATAATGTGTACAAAATGAACAAGGGAATATACAAGGAATGATATTTAATAAAGAAAAAATAGGCAGAAAGTCTAAGATTTTTATAAAAAAGAATATCGTTGGATGATTAAAGAAATAATTGAAAAAAGAAATATTACAATAATATTATTTGAAGGAAGTATTTTTAGAAAAAAAAAAATTAACTGTATGTACTAATTAATATATATAAAATTCGGGAGGGGGGATCGGTTATTAGTGAAAAATAGGTAAATAGAATACAAAATATAGGAAATCACCACCATCACAACACCACCACCATCACTACCATCAATCGTCCATTTCAAGATAATCATCGTCAGAAAGTTGGCCAGAAGGTTGGCCAGAAGGTTGGCCAGAAGGTTGGTTGGAAGATTGGCCGGAAGGTTGTTGGTTGGAGGATTGGTTGGAAGGTTGTTGGTTGGAGGATTGATCGGAAGGTTGTTGCTTAGAGGATTGGTCAGAAGATTAGTTAGAAGGTTGGTTGGAAGATTGGTTGGAAGGTTGGTCAGTACTTGTTAATAAAACAGTCTTTTCCATTTCTTCCTCCTCTTCTCCAACGTCAGCGTAATATCCATCATTAAAGGACTTTTCACTTTCCGCAAATTTCATCAAGTCATGCTGCTGGTCTTGACGCTAGTCCAGCTGCTGGGTGACTGCGATCTTTAACTTTCCTTTATATCCGGAACAAGTCCAATGCAGCGCCAATAAAGGCGCCACCGGTTCATTATCACAAAAATAATTGCCCGTAACTCGCTCACGTAATTTTCTATTATTGGGTTGTTCAGTTCTTAATCGGTCAATATATTCACGCAAAAATAATTGTAACTTAAAAATTAAAATAGTTAGTAAAATTAAAAATAGTTAGAAATAGTTAGAAATAGTTAGAAATAGTTAGAAATAGTTAGTAAATAAATTAAAAATAGGTAGAAATAGTTAGTAAAATTAAAAATAGTCAGAAATGGTAAAATTAAAAATAATAAAAGCAGGAAGAAATACTCACTGTGTCAGATCTCCACTTAAGATCTTTGACAATAATATTGCTTTTCACGTTTTCGCAATCAGTCTCGGATTCCTCGGGTGAATGGTAAGCGTTATTGTCAATTATTAATTGTAAGTCTTCGTCCTTAAATTTCTTGACTAATGAATTTTTCACCATCTGTAAATGTTTTATTAGTCTTCCCTTTTTAATCTTTTCTGTATTAGATAAGAAGTTAGTATTAAGAGGACCCCGGATATCTAATATAAAGGTCATAATAGACTTTTGGCCAAAAACACCCCTTTTTGCTGAAACTCAAAAAATCATTTTTTGTAAATATCTCAGCATCCAGTAATTCAATTTTAATGAACTTTTTTTTTTATTTTGTAGCCCTCATTTAGCTCTACAATTTAAAAAAAAGTTCATCAAAATTGGACCACTGGATGCCGAGATATTTACAAAAAATGATTTTTTGAGCCCCTGAAAAATGGGCCAATCTGCCGAAAGTGTGACTTATGACCTGTTTTGGAGATATCCGGGGTCCTGTATTAAGCAAATATTTACACTGTACAAAACTTTATTTACTCACGTCGTGGCGTCTGGAATTGGAATGTTTTCTTTTTTCTTGCAGTTTTTTTCTTGACGATGACCGATTCTTTTTAAGGTGCTCTTCACGTCGATTACGATGAATGTAGTGAATTATATCATATAAAATTTCGTTAGAAATAGGAAATATATTATTATTAATATTTTCCATTATACTAGGTATAATATTGTTAATAACGCGATTTCGCTGATTAGTGAATGTTTGACCCAAATCAATCCTTCTCCTTTCTGGTAACGCATCATATTTCCAAATAACTTCCTTCTATATAAAATCAACAATATCAGTTAATAAATATATATAAAATTAATTTGGGATAT